TGCCACCTCCCCCTTGCTGTTCAAAGGGTAAACCCACACTGCCCGAGTGTGGTCATCCACAATTGTCAAGAAATAGCGGCTGCCTGAGAGGGAAGGGCTCTTGTGGGCCCCACCACATCCATGTGCACAAGTGCAAGTGGGGTCTTGGCTGGTCCTGTTGCACTGTTGAAGGGGAACTTGGAGAACTTGGTCTCCAAGCATGTAGGGCAGCTCCCAATCTCCTTCACTTCCCCTTTCACCTCCAAGCCCTTCAGGCTCCCATTCTTCACCAACTTCTGCAGCATAGGGAAGTTCACATGACACAACCTCTCATGCCATGTCTCCCAATCGGCCTCTCCACTCCTTGATGAAGCCTTAGCCCATGCCGCACTCGCATCCACACCAGCAAGCACCTCACCATGTGTCTGCTGCTTCTGCACTTTCTTGACTGCTTCCAGGACCCCATCAGTTGGTGCAGTTGCATCTCCTCCTGCTGTTGCCTTTGCCGCTGCTGCCGTTGCTGCTGTTGGAGTCTTCCCATTCCAAGGGATGATGGGCAGCTGCCACAGGTCCTTGATGCAGCTGGTCTCCTCTTCCAGACTCCACAGCACCTTCTTCCCAAGCTTAGCACGGCAGCTGGTTGGTCCAAAGGTCACTTCGGCCTTACTCTTCTGCAGTCGCCGCACAGAGAGAAGGTTAGCAGACAAGCCTTTAACCAGCAGAACATTCCCAAGCCCCACAAGCTCCCCATTAGCTCCCTTAACCTTGGCATTCCCAACACCAATAACGGGGAGCAAAGCACCTGACGCTGCTGCCACATACTTGATCTTCCCAGGGGGTTTTACCTCATCAAGCAAATCTGCCCGTGGGGTCATGTGACTGGTGCAACCCGAATCAATCACCCAGTGCGTGAGAGGGTGCATCACAACCTTTCCGACAGATCCCACATCACCCTCATGCCCATGCACATCCTCAACCATGAGATACATCCCAGGATAGGCGTTACCTTGTGCACCTATCTTGCACAGCGCCACCTTGTGCGCGTTCACCACTTGGCGGCTTCATGCCTGGAGGTGCCCATCCCTCCGGCCTGCTGAAGCACTTGAACCAAGGATGCCCGACCTTCTTGCAGTACCAGCAGGTGCCCTCCATTCTGGTACTCCCCCTGCCACTGGAGCTCCCATGCCCCTCATTATAGTCACCTCGGCCTCTACCTCTGCCAAAGCTCCTCCCACGGCCTCGGCCTCTCCAACCCCCTCTTCCTCTGCCGCGCCCTGCAGCTCCATACCCCTCAGCAGTCTTAGTGGCAGCACCGCCTCCCACATGGCGTCTGCGGAAGTCCTCCTGCAGAATCTGCTGCCTTAGCCACTCAGGTGTCCATTGATCTTGCTGAGAGTTGAGGGTGGGGATGAGGTTGTCCCAAGAGTTGTCCAACACCGAGATGATCTTGGTGCACTGCTGCAGCTGAGATACACTGCTGCCCGCTGCTGCCATCCTTGCATAGGTGTCCTTGATCTTGTCAAGGACCGGCTTCACATCGTCCCCTGGTCGCATGGAGATGGCAGCAAGTTCCTTCTCGAGCACGATCACCATCAGGAGAGTGTTGGGCTGAATCACATCGCGTAGTAGTTTCCACGCCCTTGGACCCGAATCATCCGCTTCCACAAGATCCTTGATGTGCTCGAACATCTCCTTGTTGACCGATTGAAGGATGAGGTCGAAAAGCACCGTGCTTTTCTCAATCCACCGTTCACGTGCTTCGCCTTCTTCCGGCATCTTCTCTTCCCCAACAGCAATCTTCAGTAGCTTGTAGCGTTTGAAGGCACTCCTCATCCGTCCGCTCCATTCCTCATAGTTGGAGCCATCCAAAGCTTCAACTTTTGATGGCGGCGGCTCACTTGTCTTCTCAGGTACAGCTCCTCTTCCATTAGCATCTCCTCCTCTCTCATTCATCTTCTCCTTGAGAAATGACGAATTTCAGCTCCCCTTTGCTGTCCACACTCAGCTCCCTCGATATTTTCACAAGTGTCGGCGTCCACGAAATTTCGGCAGAGTTTCCCCTTAGCGGAAGACACATCCAACCTTTAGAACACCACTTAGGCACACCCACAGGCCATGGTGGGTCTAGAAGGGTCTTCACACTTCTGTAGACTCCTCTCAATGTCCTTAATATCGCTCTGATACCACTTGTTAGGATTAAGGACAGAGTCTAGGTGAACTTAGGAGCTAGAATTACTCAAAATATAAATCCGAAATTCTGGACAGAAAAGTCGTCTTCACAAGAAACGACGTCGACAAAACACTAGCCGTTGGAATGTCGCGAAACTTGGATATGTTGTAGCTCTTGATCTCAGCTACCGTTCCCAATTTGAATCACGTTGATTGATGAAGTATTCGCGACGCTATGGCTTTCGACGCACTAGGGGGTAAGCTGTAGGAGGAGAACTTAACTCAATCTCAAGAGTTCAATCAAAGTTCAAGAATCTCACAAGGAATTAGAAGGAGCAAGAGAAAGGTTGGGATAGGAAGAGAGGGATGAGAGGGAAGGTCCCAAGAGAGTCCCCAACCAAGGAAACCCCATAAGCACAAAGATTCCCTCCCTATAGGAACCCCAACTTTGACATTTGTCCCTTCCCAACCAATCCATCCAAGTTGGCCACCCTTGCCAACCTAGCTTGGTTGTTCCCAACCAATTTGCAGCTGTTACAGTAGAGTGACAAGTTTCCCCAACCCCAAAGGTCCCAACTCCATATAAAGTCACCCCACAACTTCACTTAGTAACCGCCGCAATTGTAACGCAAGCTCATGAACTTTGAATCTTCATAGCTTTCGCGTTCTTGCTCCGATTGAAGCGATTCTTGTTGCGTCGGAAAGATCTTCTCAAGATCTATTATCACAAATACCTGCTCAGACAGAATAACACAAAACACATTCCCAAACTCCAGAACACACCACACACAAATGCTTGCACATTCAAACCACACATGCAAGTTGAAAAAACATGGGATGGGAGGCAGACAGAATGTGATAGCATATGATGACATCACACAACAGCGTTCAGGGCTAATTTTTCATTTTTCAAGACTCAGAGCTCTCAAGATTCGCGTCACTAAAGACCCTGAAAATTCAGCATTCCTTGGAACATCTCTCTTTATCTCAGGATTACTTTGAAGTTTCAATATGAAATTCAGAGTGAATTTTGGGACACCCTACATATCAATGGAACTTGTAGGCACTTGGAGTACACCAAGAAGGACATGAAGAAACGATGAAGAACACATAACACACACTTGCTGCTGCTGCTGTCCCTCACCACCACACCAAGTTCGACACTTTCCTTGTCAATCGCGACAGAAATGCACACAATTTAGAGGGACAGTGCGCAACCTGGCTCAGGCGATATTAAGGGGTTATGATAGGCCTGACAGCCCTGCACTACTGTAGTTGTGAAAGTTCCACGGGTCGCGCCTTTAGATTGCGTGGAAAATTGGTCAAAGTTGCGAAGGAATTGGGGGGGGGGCGAAGGGGGGGGGGTGGGGAGGTGGGGTTGCAATTCCAGCACGGGTACTTTCCATGCCAGTCGGATGGCCAGGATAAATTTTTGTGCAATCCGGATTGATCAGAATGTTCCTTAGAAACGCCCGGAATCAGTCAGGAGGCTTGGGGATCCGAAACCCTCAAAATCAGGAAATCAGCGGGAAAGACCCGGAATGTACCTGACGTTCAGGATGTTTACCCTTGAACCGAGAGCCCTTCGCGTTACTCGTAGGTTTGTTTGCAACAAAGGAGGAGGGAAATTTCGTACCTTGGTTCCGAGTGTTCCATCATCATTGCACACGCTACACCTTGGCAAATTTAGCCTTAAAGCCGCGGTACGCATTAAACGCGGCTTGGATGGAAATGTGGAGGTCAAGAAAGGAGGACGGAAGTGATTGGAGGGCGAAATTAAAGTATATACGCGAATTGGGCTGAGCTTCGTCGAGGGGAAATTTTATCTTGCGATACTGGGGGAAATGGAATTGCGTCGGGGGGGACTGGATTTCGCGGGATGGGGGGAATCGAAATTGACGGGGGAAATTGGAATTGAGAGGGGGGAATCGAGCTTGATTGGGGGGGAATTGGGCTAGCGACGGGAAGGGGAAAACGAAATTGACGGGGGGAGCTGGACGAGCGAGGGGTGGCTGGCGGAATCGAATTTTGGGGGGTACGGGGGCTTCAAAATTGGGGGGCACGGGGGGATTGGAAATTGGGGGCCAGGGGAATCGAGTTTGAGGGGGCAGGGGAGGAGTTTCGTGATTTGGGGGCCAGGGGAATCGAGATCGTTGGGGGAAGGGGGAATCGAAAACGTGGGGGAAGGAGGTTGGGAAAATGTGAGCCAAGGGGGATGAGTGGAGAGGTGGTCATCAGGATTATCAGCACGCGAGTGCCACAATCCCCCTCAAATGTCTATCTGCAGGTAGCGAGATCTCGTCACCTCCAGCAGGCATCACTCAGTTACCACTGTTTCAAATGTTTATCTCTTGAAACAAATTGAAGTGAATGTGTACCGCGGCTTTGGAACGCGTGCGGTCCCTCCTTTCCTCTTCCGCTGGTTGTCGGAGGACGCTCAGCAGGCCGCTGCGCTGCCTACGATTGCTTTTCAACGCGTCGATATCTGATGTAGGTTTAGTGAGATGTAAGTTTTCGAAGGTTTCCAGCTCGGTGCCACGACATCCGGGGTGTCGTCGGATGTCGCTGGAACTTGAACACCACCTTAGTCCTGTAGTAGTAGGCTAGGCTAGAGATGTTTTACCCCACCGTCTCATCCAGTGGATTCTCCTCCGCTTCACCGTAGCACAGACCCGCGAAACGTCTAGAAGCTTTAGTAGCAGCACAGCCCCCCAGATTGTCGGTCCCAGAAGCTCCCGTAGAGAGGCACGGCGCCGCAAATGCCGCCGCCAAAGTCGGTTGCGATGCGGCGAGCATGGCTCGCACTCCCCGCGGCGCTTTGGCTTGCCGCCTTCGTCACTTCGTGCCACGCACAGCCGATCGATGCTTCGCAAGGTAACCCCCTCCCTCCACACGGCTCGTATCGCAGTTCACAAGACGCACTGGACGATGCTAGCGATACTACGGATTGTAGTAGGGGCAAATCTTTCTCCCTCAGCGTATGCGTGTAACTTGCGCAACGCTCATTATAACGCCTCGCTACCTACTGGGTAAAACGAGGGCTATCCAGAGGCGCAACGGAATTGCGTATTACATTCTAGGGTAAATCCGTCCGCAGACGTTACACTCATGATCGATTTCAGTCGCAGAAGCAAACCAAAAGTTGTGCCTCCTAGTAGTGCTGCGTGGTACTAGTGTGCTTGATACCGTGATGAGTGTTGTAACGCGTGCGTGTTGTGCATGTTGTCACTCCGGACTCATCATCATTAACGTGCCTTGGTTATCCATAGTAGGTGCCGGTATTGATACACCCCAAGGTTAAGAGTAGGCGTGTACCCACCCAGTACCCACAGTTCGTCCGTTTTGCTGGCTCTCCTGTCCCCCGGCTGTCAGTGGGGTTTCTCAACGACTGCCAGGCGGCATGGGGGGTGACGTTCGAGGGGTGGACGCTGGGAGGCAACTGCAGCGAAGCTGTGGGTCTCGCCTGTGACGATTCGGGCATGATTCGCAAGATGTAAGTCTTTTCCTTTCTATCTTGAATGCGATGGACGCCATACCTGCGTCAACCCTGCTTTGCTTCAATGGCTGCTGCCTGCTGTATCTGCGAGTCGCACCGTGGCAGCAAACAATGCATATGGCGGTGGTTATCACTTGATGGTTTGTGACAGCTCGAGCCTTGAGCACTAGAAACTATTATTTCGGCGGCTTGACTCCTGACCAAGGTGCAAAAAAACGGCATCTGTATTAAACGGTCCGTTTTAAACGGCCGTTTTTTACGGTGGGTTTTGGTAAAAAACGACGTTTTTTTGTTAGACCTTTTGTCATGATTTTTTTTTTT